GTAGGGAACGGCCGGCTAGAAATCCAATAAATAATAAATAAATAGATGATGTGCACTGGTGCCCCGTGGAGCATCGGATCAGAGTGGTTTTGTGTGAGTGGGTGACATATGCATCTCTGTAAACCCATAAACTGCAAGCCAGATTCCAGAGTTTTGTGCTTTATGGGTTTGGCAAGGGAGCTGTTCTCATGTACCACCCACTTGCGCAACGTGATGGCACATGTTTGCGCAACTTGGATTCACGCTGAGGGCAGGGTTTGGCAGAAGTCGTGAAGTTGCACTGTTCCCTTCAAAACACAGCGGATACTCTGTGCATGTTCCCCGATCTGGACCACTCAAGGAACATTTCTACGTAGTTCCTGTACTCCCTTTCCTCTCCACAGGTTGCTCCCCCTCGTCACACACTCTTGTGCCTCTTCTCTGTCCTGTAGCTTCCAGATATTTGTGCTCCTTCTGTGTGCCCTGTCAACTCCAGCCTGAGGTACTTGTACTCATGGTGGTCAGGAGGCCATAAACCCTTTGTGAGGGAGAGGCCTGAGGAGAATCTCAAGGGGCTCCTCCTCTGTGGTCAGAAAAAGAGCTGGAACTCTCAGGTGAGGAACATTCAACCTCTTGAGATCCACCCTGATCATAGAGGGACCCCTCGGCCTTTGAAATGCGGCCTCCTAGACACAGCTGCTTTCTGACTCAGCTGTCTTGCTCATGAACAGACTCTCACTTGCGAGTAGGCATTGTCCTGAATTCAGGCACCCGGGTCTACACGGCCTTTTGCTTTCAGCAGTTGCTCGTTTTCCTTGGAACAGTGAAGGGTTGGGGCTTCCCAAAGAAAGGGGTGTGACATCATCGGGATTGCCAGAAGGGAAGAGTTCTGAGTTCTCAGCCGGCATGAGCTAAGTTCTTTTGTCAGTCTGCTATGCCCCCACATCCAGAATGGCGGCCTACAGTGTAACTTAGAGGCCACCAATTTAAAAACCTAAATAACGAAGCTGAAAAAGGGCTCTTACAGCTTTTAGCGTAAGCTTTCGAACTGCCTGCTGATTCATTCAGCAGCCACAAGAAAGGGAAAGTCCTGCTGAGAGCCTTTCAAAACAGATTCTCCCCCCCCCCATCACCAATATTTACTTTCTCTTTTGTCCTCCATGTGATTCATGACAGGGCTTAATTAAAGCCCTCTTCCTCTCTGATTCATGCAGCAGCGCCACACATCTTGCTACGGCGCAGGGCAGAGCTTTTCCTTGTTCCTGCGTCTGCCGTTAGCCAGGTGCATAGGGGGCACGTTGCAGTTATTCTCCTAAGAATCACCGTAGTACAAAACTTGTTCCAAAGGAGAACTGAGCCACACATTTCCTTCCCTTTAGGAGGGAACAAAATAAGGAGGCTTGTTGTAGCCAAGGCTTGGTTCTTAGGGCCATGGTAGATAAGATGCTCGGATTGCTAGTGTGTGATAAATAGCACCCATGGAGGGCCGGAGTACTTCTTTCATCCACTCGCCATTTTTACGACGACAAGTGCCGCCCCACAGCTTCCATTTGCCTCACTGTGGGTATCATGACGTGTGACCTAAACATTTCCTGCCGAGTGGTCCAGGGGGGTAAATAGATCCAGAGGATTCTCTGTTGGGGTTAGAGTGCAGGTGGGCGGGGGGATACCTGACCCCATCCCTCAGTTTGTGGTCCTGATTCAAATGAGTGGGCCTCAGCGGCTGCCATTTTTTTTAACAAACAACGTGCCGGAGACCTGTGGCGGAGGGCAGCCATGTTGGTTTGCAGGAGAACAGCCAGACTCGAGTCACGCAGCACCCGAGAGACCAAGAAGGTTTTCAGGGGGTAAAAGTCAAGGACTCCCGACAGCTCCTGCCCTGAACATATGGTCGGTCTCTCAGGCGCTCCTGGCCTTGAGTCGAGCTCTGCTAGAGATCTGACGGTGACCTCACTGCTCCCCAAAAGCTGGAGATCTGATGATGGGATCCCACGCAGCCACCCTGGGTGAGACTCTCTCTCAGCCCACCCTAACTTTGGAGGGCTGTGGTGGGGGTAAAATGGGGGAGGGGAGGTCTGCGTATGCCATGGAGGGAAGGATAAAGAAGATGGGCGGGGTGGGTCTTCTATGCAAACCACACCTGAGACGGGGCACGGAGCCCCCTGGCTCACATCGTCAGCAATTGGGCTGACCCACCCCACAGTTTAATTGACCCCCTCCCTGAAATTCCTCCCCCCCCCCGACTCTAAAAGCAAAGGCCAAAACATCTAAGAATCCATTTGCACAACACAGCATTGTTCCGCTTCTCCTGATTCCATTTTAGGGACCCGTCTTTTTGCTACTGGGTATTCTGTTACAATTGTTCTCTCTCTCTCTCTTCTTTTTTGGGGGTGGGAATTACAAAAAGATCGTCACTCTTGTTGCTGATTATACCTTCTGTGTTTGGGGGGTGGGGGTGGTAGAAAGCAAAAATCTTCCTGTGCAAGAAAACCCAGGGTAGACCTTACACCCTTAAATCAGCTTCCTTAGTGCTGCTAGGGCAGTCCCTGCTTTGTTTCTCTTTGCCGTTTCTCAAGGGCGCCATTTATGCAAAGGTGGAGCCACATTACGGCCATAAGCCAAAACTGTGCAGGCCTGCGTGGGTCAGTAGCTTCGAATAAATGAAGAAAGGTAAAAACAGTCCAAAATGCTGCCTGCATCCATCAGAGCTGCTTCATGCTGGAATGGTACAGAGCAGAGCTTCCCAGATGTCGGATAGACGATGTGCAGGATTATGAATTAAAACTGGAGGAAAGCTACAATAGGGTCCCATTTATTTTTCATCATTTCAGGCATTAAAATGTCCCTGATTCATGGGAGCCCCCTTTCCGTCTGCACGAGCCTCTGTACTGCGCATGCCTCCTGACTGGAAAGAGGCAGGCCCAGAGCAGTGACTCTTTCGTAGCAATAAAGAATAGACACCTCTGGGGACGGGTAACTCTACTGTGTCTCTGCATCAGAAGCAACTGAATGATCCAGTCACACATGATTGGGCACAGTTTTCCCACCCCAAATGGAGCATGAATGGACCTTTTCAGTTATACAGTTTCTGTACAATATTGCATAGATCGGTAAAACATACAGAGATACAATGGGCGCCCTCCTTTGTGGGTGGGTTTTTTGGGCTTCTAGGTCCTTTTTAATGGTTTGATTTCTTTCCTGGAGCATGGTGGTTATTATCTTGCAGCACATTAGTGTGCCTCAGCCCACATTTTTAGTGATATTGCCCTAGAAAATTACCCTGGGAAAATTTATGTTACTTGAAACAGGGTGGCTTTTCTGTGACGAACATTTTGGTAGCACCTGGTGGATTTCCCCCCACGCTGTTTGGCTTGAGATGAGCCAGGCTGTTTCAGTAAATAGACTGAGAGGGTGGATTCCTTTATCCTGTGAAAGCGAATGCAACAGCATGAATTGGCATGGCCAGTGATTCACCTCTTAGCTTAGAGTTTTGTGGTTTCTATTCTAGTGGACGTTGTTGACTTTTTTAAAAAAAACATGTAATTAACCTTTCCATTGCACCAAGGAATGTTTTCTTAATCATCCATCTTGTTTTGTGTTTTTGTGGTTAAATAGTGTACTTGTAGACGTCCCTCCATAACACTCCTTCAGTTGACCTGTAGAGATTCCTTCCTTTGTATATATTTTGTGTATTCAGCATCAGTATCCAATAATAGTAAAAATCCTTCATTTTTCAACCTTTAGGACTTCTGTTTACTGTTATTTCACTACCTGTGCTACATCAAGATTAGCGTTAATTAGAGCCATAGCTGAATGTGATCATGTTTCTGTGTTTTCAAAGCTGGTAAATGTCCTTATAAATAAAGTGAAATGGTTTTGTGGATTTCTGGGCCTAACTGGGTTAAGGACGGCTTTCCACGTTATGATCTAACAATTCTAAAGTGTGCTGTCAACTCTCTCCATGCCAGAAGATATATTTTGGGAATTATGTATCTTCATAGCTCACAAATGCCGGCAGAATCGTGCAGTACAGCTCTTGCTGTATGACTTTCTAGTGCTACCGGGGCAATTTTGATGTTTTCCAATATTAGAAAGCTAGTTTATCAGGGCAGAAGGGTGGTAGCTTAGCCTTTTCTCTCTAATGCAAGCTTTCTGTGTTCATGGAGATAGATTCAGGTGGGTAGCTATGTTGGTCTGAAGCAGCAGAAGTCCAGAGGCACCTTTAAGACCAACAAAGTTTAAGTGAAGGTGTAAGCTTTCGTGTGCACATCTTCAGATGCATTACAATGGAAGTTACGAGTCCATACACTGAATAAGACCGATTTCACACAAGAGCTGTGCCGCGGTCACGCCTCCCTTTGCCCTGCTTCTATTGGTCAATTTCCCACGCGAAGCCACGCAGCCGCATTTTGACCCGCGGCTTTGCCCAATTTTCCCTGCGTTTTTGTGATCCTCAAAAAACAAACTGCAGGGAAAATCGGGCGAAGCCGTGGGTCAAAATGCGGCCGCGCGGCTTTGAGTGGGAAATTGACCAATAGAAGCGGGGCAAAGGGAGATGCAACCGCAGCGCAGCTCTTGTGTGAAATCGGTCTAAATTTTTGTTGGTCTTAAAGGTGCCACTGGACTCGAACTTTGTTTTGTGTTCAGGGAGTGACAGTTCAGTTTATGCAAAACATTTAAACAAGTGAATATCCCACCTGCACTTCAAAGCAGTATGGTCTATTGATTCTTTTGAGATGGTGTAGCCTGATCTCGTCAGGTCTCGGAAGCTAAGCAGGGTCGGCCCTGGTGAGTACTTGGATGGGAGACCACCAAGGAAGCCCAGGGTTGCTGTGCAGAGGCAGGCAGTGGAAAACCACCTTTGAATGTCTCCTGCTTTGGGTCGCCACACGTCAGCTGCGATTTGACAGCACGTTCCACCACCTCCCTGAAAACTAAGTGGCGGTGACTGCTGGGTTTAAGTTAGACATGGCTGGCTACATCTTTAGATGTTTTTAGGGCTGATAAACTGTTTTATTCTTTGTTCAGGATATTGTATGTTGTAACTCGCCCTGAGCCCGCTTGTGGGGAGGGGGGGATAAAAATCAAATTAAGCAAATAAATAAATAAAACAGATATGCCCGAGTACTTTTATGACGGATCGTCATGCTCCATCTCTCCCCCCCCCCCCCCCCCCCCCTCCAGTTCAACTTTTGGCAGCTTTGCCATATGGGCTATAACCTCAGAATGGTTATGTGGATTCAGATTATGAGGGGTCAGGAGAAGTACCTGGCCTGCTTGCTGTGGCTGTGGCTTCATTTCTGCCCCCGTGGCTACAGGTCATCTGGTTTTCTTAACGCATTTTTGTATTTTTTTTTAATGGCCTGCCTATTCCACCCACTCCAAAAAGGTTTGCAGCAACAGGCATAATTTCAGGGTCTTCTTTATTGTAAAGTACCTTAATCAGGGGCGAGAAAGGTTTCTCCCCCACAAATTCTCTTTTACAAATTTTGCAGCAAATATTTATCTGGCCATGCAACCATTTGAGAAATATTTGATATTTGGCACAATTGATATTGATTTTTTCGGGACTAGTCACATTGACGTCACGTTTACTAAATGCTGTACCACCTTCGGTCATTTGCTTAACCAGTTATGAAGCATTCAGTCTAGACTATCACATTTCAGATTGTTGGGGGTCAAGATTTTTAAAATTACATTCTGAAGTGTGCCAAAGTTTGAATTTCCTGGAAGGTTTATCTCAGATCTATGGGAAGTCAGTGTACTGGGAATAGGGAGTTTTTGCAGGCCAAGATACAGAAGCAGACACTACTTCTTCGCAGGATGGTCCTTTACCCCCAGCCTTGAACAATCAAACATTCCCATGTTTATATTTCCAGGACACGGCAGTGGATTTCCGGGAGTGCCTACGTGGTGGTGTTGGATCATAACATGGGCACCAGACCTAAGCAGAAGCTATCTTTTTTTGCTGTAGAAACAGTAAATGTAGAGGTTTTTTTCTCCCCCTCTCCGTCTCCTTTTTAATGTGTGTATGTTTTCTTTTGCTGACTCAGCAACAGTCTCAGTCATTGTATTTTCACAAAGAACTCATGAAGAGGACTTTAGGCAAGCCCACGTATGCCCTTGAGGCTAGGGAATATGTTGTAAGTCTGTGTATGGTGTGGCCGGGCCATACAGTCGCTGCACAGTCACTGACCCCATTTACAATCTTGCAAGAGGGGGAGTTTCGCTGAAAACCAAGCATGCAGTAATGATTGCGATAAATGAACGAACAAACGGCACGTCCCATAGAGACATTTGCCAATTCGACATTAGGAAGGCCTGCTTTTTTTCAGTGATGGCAACTGTCTTTGCTTAAACAAACCAACAAACAAAAACAGCAGCAACCTGAGACAGCATTAATCAACAGGGAAGCAAAAAGAATGAACCAGGCATGCCAAAAGAAATGAACCCAAAATGTGGAATGTATAAGCCACAGTGGAACTCCCTTAATGGGCTTTGGCAGTTATGCGGGAGGCACAACAAGAGATTGCTACGGCTAGAAGGGTCTACAACTCAGCAGATCTAATGTCACCATAGAGTTGACAAGATCTTGAGGACCAGCAAGGCTGTGTCCTCCAGACATCAGTTTCCAACAGTTTAGTCCATGCAAATTGGTGACACAAGCTAGTGAGGCAGGCACTGCAGGAGAAGGGGCAGTCCTTCCGCCATTGCAAGATTCTGTACATCATGGATGTGTCCAGCTTGAGCTAGAATCTGCATAGCCTCCAAGTGAGGGGGGGAAAGAAGAAGAAAGGAACCACAGTAAGCCTATGCCAGGAGGAGAATTCTTTTGTCCAAGCACATGGCCCAAGAAGGTGGCAAATACAAGTCTTCCTATTTTTAAAAAAATTCTTCCTAACCCACATCCTTTGAAATGTGATCCAGGAGATTACCCCAGCAGACCTAATATTAGCTCAATAGGCTGCCTAGCTGCGGCCTAACAAGTACCAAGTGCCCAAGGTCCTTTAAACGGTGTGTGTGTGTGTGTGTGGGTGTGTGCGTGTGCCGCAGCCCTGAGAATAGGGTTGCCAATCGCCAGGTGGGGGCTGGAGATCTCCCAGAATTACAACTGATCTCCAGACTATATAGGTTGTTTGTTTATGTATTTAAAATATTTATTTCACTTCTCCTGGATGGAATGGCTGCTTTGGAAGGCAGACTGTATGACTTTATACCCTACCAAGATCCCTCCTCTCCCTAAAGCCCGCCCTCCTATCTCCAGGTATTTGTGACCCCAGAGTTGGCACCCCTACCTGGGGTATCTTCACCAAATCTCACAAGGGTTCTCCTTCTCTAAGGGACATAACTATAGCCACAACCTTAAACAAGTGTTTCTTCTCTTAAGGAACACTCGGCACTGTAGCTCTATGAGAAGGCAGGAGGGGACACAACCAAGCACCTCTCATATCCCGTTCTCAGTAGACTTACTAGACTACAACTCCCAGGTTTCCTTGGGAGGAATTAGGACAATGAAACTAGCATAAAAAATTATCATGGGGTGCTGTGCATCACAATTTTCTTCCCCATTAAGCAGAACATATTTTCTACATACCTCTGTGAGTTTTCAGTTAAAGAAAAAAAAACACAAAAGTGAACCAGGATTCAACATAAGAACATAAGAGAAGCCATGTTGGATCTGGCCAGTGGCCCATCCAGTCCAACACTCTGTGTCACACAGTGGGCAAAATCCAGGTACCATCAGGAGATCCACCAGTGGGGACAGAACTCCAGAAGCCCTCCCACTGTTGCCCCCCCCAAACACCAAGAATACCGAGCATCCCTGGCCCTGATATAGTGTTGCACTATACCTTGTGACTAATAGACACTCACGGACCTCTGCTCCATCTGTTTATCCACTCCCCTCTTGAAGCTGCCCATGCTTGTAGCTGTCACCACTTCCTATGGCAGTGAATTCCACGTGTTCATTACTCTTTGGGCGAAGAAGGACTTCGTTTTATCTGTTCTAAGCCTACTGCTCATTAGTTTCATTGAGTGCCCGATAAGAACATAAAGTAACTTGTTCTTGGTGGGAAAGTTGTCCAAGAGGTTTCCACTGTGGTTGTTAGTTGCCTGGGGCTTGCTGTTGTCAAGATTCAATTTGTTTGCAATTGGCTGTGTGTTTTTCTAGAAGGAGGGCATTGAGCCTTGGGGGGGGGGGACCACACAGGAGGGAGGGAGGAATACATCACTTACCAATTCTGCTTCTTTGAGCTCTGCGTTAATACAAAAAGGGTTTGGGGGAATGTGCAACTGAGGCTCCAGCCTGGTAAAACATCGATGCTATATTGACACAGTCAGAGCCTCGGAAAGGCCTTCCTGCTGCTGGCAACCTAGAGACGTTCCACTCCCCCCCTTGCTGCCTTGTAAGTGCGGGTCGCCGTTTGTGACTATCCAATAACACATAGATTTGCTGGCCTTCACGCGCTCTCGTGTGTTATTGCGCTTGTGGCTCGTAGGCTTCCTCCATTTGCTCTTGGCAAAAGGCTCCGTTAGACTCTTCCTGAAGAGATTTGCTCCTTTTTTAGATATGTATGTTTATTTCCTAGAAATTCAGTTAGTTAAACCAGAGAGAGAGAGAGCTTCCCTGTCCCCACATTTTTCTGCAGTAGAGCAAATCTCTTAGCAAAGATACCCCAACCCCTTGTCCTTCCTCTCCTCAAAGCAGCAAAAAGCCTTACTAATAATAAACTTCAAATTGACCCTTATATATTTCCTTCTTATTTCTGCAACTCGGCCTTAAGAAAACTAGGCTAACAACTACGTTCATGTTTGTTTCATCTCGCCTTGTTTAAACAGCATCTAAATCAGTTTTCCATACTTCAGAGTGTTGTGCTGCAAATCAAAAAAAAAAAAAGTACTCCCCACAAATAAAAACACAATCCAGCCCCCATGTTACTGCGCTTTTTAAAAAGCCCTGCTTGTTTCGGTGGAAGGGATTTCAGCTCATGCTTTAACTCCTCCACCAAAATCAATTGTGCCTTCAAGAGCTTGAAAGACTTGGAGCATGTCCAACCTGTATTTATTCCCTGTTGTAACCCACCCTGAGCCTGCTTGCGGGGTAGGGCGGGCTGTTCCCTCTAAGCTGTGGAGTCTTGTGAGCAAAAATTCTCCTTTGTGAGCTCCTGGCATTAAAATTGTGAGCAAGCAATTTGGCTACTGTATACATTAGTTTGCTCTGGAGCCATCCTTCCTGAGCTAAGACAAAAATGTGTGAGCCGGAGGGTAAAAAACGGTGAGCTAGTTCACACTAACTCAGCTTAGAGGGAACACTGGCTAGAAGCCCAACGAAATAAATAGATATTAAAATTGGGAAAGCATTTTATATTTGGTGGCCCAATGGCCTCCTGACTTCTTCACCAGTATTCCTGTCTTTCCTGATGGAGCCCTGAGGCAGGGAAACAGAGACTTCTACCCAGGGTCACCCAGTGAATCCCTATGGGGCTGTGATTTGAAGCCAGCTCCTCCAAGGACTGATGCCCGGTCCTTTAGATCAGTGGTTTTCAAACTCTGGCTTTTCAGAGAACCATTCCACACGTTGGCTGTGATCACACTGGCAGCTTGGCGCAATATGGTGCCGCCTCTAAGTGAACCGGGTTAAAGTGTAGTGGGATATATCTGCCACACAGCACACCCTGCTGCGGGTTACCCACGGAGACATCCCACGGTAAAGCATCTACATTATTGTGGCGCCTCAGCCACGGAGCGAACTGCAAAAAATTTTCAAAAATCCATGTGCGCCCATCGTGCGCATGCACGCACATGCGCATATAGGCAATTGAAAAAAACAACCCTGCCTCCATAGTGGCAGAATGGATCCGCAGGTTCAGACTGCCAAATCCGTTCTGCCCGGGCTCCCCCGTGTTCAGACATCCGGCCATGCGCAATGAATGCACGGGGAAACAAAAACACCACTTCGGAGGTGTTGGCTTTTTAACCCAACTCCACGTCGTCCTTTGACGGGGTGAGTATGCCCAGGGAACGGCTGACAAATGTGGCTGTGTGTTCTGGCCCATTTAACCCAGTTGTAAAAGGTGCCTATATCGGGCCAAACTGCCAGTCTGAACACAACCATTGACTCATCCGCCATTTTGCATTTTGAAGACGATGCTAGAACAGGATTGAGAGCAGATGCTTAGTCTGCACAGGGCCTTGGCCAGGCTCTTCAGTGGGACACCCTTCAACATTGGATTCCTTTCAGATGTCACAAGCAAACCATGTTTTTAAACCACGTTCTCTTATGAGCCTTACAAGCCCTGGGACTCACCCTTTCCTTCCTCCTGGAGCTCTTAACCCTTGGGGATGAATGAAAAACTGGCGTCTTGATTCTGAGGAAATCATAGTTTGTTGCGACAGCTGAATCTGACAAAAGTACCAATTGTCTGTTTCTTGTCCTCCGATGACACCCATCTTCAGACCTACAAGCTAGGGACTTAAATTTCACGCCCCTACAGCTCCCCCGCCCCAACTTATTTTTATAATTGAGCCTTTGGGACCACTTAGTCTTGTAGTTCTCAGTAGTGAGGCCAGTGCTTGGACTCAGGGTGCCTCCCAGCATTCACTTGGCCTATTAAGAGGGGATTATAGACGCAAAGAGCCTACATAGGAGGCTTGAACCAAGAACCAGGTTTATTTCAGTGGTATGCATGGTTGGTTGGTTTCTTGGTTTTCCTTTTCCCCAGCCCTCTCAGTACGACAGTAAGAAAGTTACTGGAGATGTGGAGCCTGAGGAGGCACAACAATTGCAAAGCAGTTTTCTTGTCTGACTGATTCAGACTTCTAACGTAGAACAGAAAGCCTTTTAAATGTTTTTGGCAGTAAAAAAACCCCTTTATAACACAAAGCAGATAGGCTTCCCTCTTTTTAACTGTTTTGGAAAGGAATAGCACCCATACACTACCTATCTTCAGAATACCTAAAGTCCCCAATGGACTCCCTGCCTAACCAGCAGATTTCCTAACCAAAATCCAACAACTGTCACTCTGTCAGTTGGCCAGCAGTTCAATTGCCAAACTCCTCTCTCTTTTTGTTTTAAAAATTCCAGGCCACCGCTTGGAAGTGACTGGCTGAGCCTCCTGGAGGGTGGAACTTGAAACCCTCTATC